TGCGAGATGAAATCTGGATGGTCTTGTCTGACACTTGCAAGGATCTTTGTTCAAGTTATGATATTCCCTTCTTTGCATGTCCATTTTTCAATTAGGAAAAAAAAAAGCGATGAAAGTATTACAGCAGACCAGGCCAATAAGAAAAAGCCTCAGTGTCACTTAATCTACACCTTAGCACTTTGTTATCCTCTTAGTTCCCAGGCTATTTTATGTCTTGCAAAGCAGCTCTCTGTGCCCAGGTCCCAGGGTCTTCTGTGCGTTAATTGGAAAGCGACAAACAAGTGTGTTTAGTCAGAAACACTGTTCGGTGTTCGGGCGTTTGGTGTCTGGTTCTGACTCTGCTGTTGCACGATGAAGAGCTCTCTGTGTGACGGGGGACTGGGTTTTGCATGGAGGATACCATGCTGAACAGTAAAACAAACTGAGTTTCAGTTAAAATGTTGGGACTATGGTATGCTTCTACTGCTGTGAACCAGAGAGGATCGTACCAATAGGTGGGTAAAACTTAAGAGTTTTAAAACATATTGAAATACTTTGTTAATTCTGGTTCTGTAAAGAATTGTAATAAATAGTGCCTGAACTGAAAACATGTTTTTGAATTTTTTTTCTGAGAAGGTTATTCATGGCTGTCTACCTATGTAATATTTAAGGACATGGAAATGGCATTAAAATGAAGGACGCTTTATTTTTAGTGTTTATCACTGTTATGCAACCTGACTGTCACTCAGTGTGGCAGCTGGTTTTAAATTAACTCATTTTTAGTAGATTTACAGTTTCTCAGATGCATATTTTTGCTGAAAGTGTTTACCTGTTGTTCCTTAACAATATGAAGACTGTAGCTTGACATGTACTTGACATTATCATTCCTCTGATTATACTTCTCTGATCCTTGGAGAATTGAACTAACAAACACTATTCGTAATTTTACAGATCTGAAAGTTTTTCATATTTTTGATGGACAGGTGATGAGGAAGACATAAAATAGCGTATGGTAGTAAACTGGTAGTATATAGTTAAATTTCCCAAGTCCATAGTATTTCCATGTGACCTCAAATAATCGTAAATGTATTTAATTGACAAAAATTAATACCTACTTGGCCTAGAAAGCCAGTCTGTTCAGATGTTTCAGACTGTATTGTAGATATAAGATACTTTTTTTTAAAAAAAAAATAATTGCAAGTTATTTAAAATTTGAATTACTGAATGAAAGCCCAGTTCTCATGTCCTGATGTGATGGGAACAGGCATTAGGAAAATAATTTTATACTTTGAAAAAGGTAAAATTCTTTAGCTGTGTAAAACCCCTTCAGAATATGACCTTCTTAAATACACATTAGTATGTTTGAATAATAAGAGCAGTCTGCTTTTCTTATGCTTCATTTAAACTTCAGTAACAAATACGATTATATGTACATATCATAAATTGCAAGAGATTTCTCTTAGTTTACCGTCATGGAGAAATAGATGGTGCACTACATGTCCTGAGACTGATTGACAAGATTATGTGCAAAAAAATCACTCTGGAGAAATCAAATTATGTAACGGCTGGCCTTTAACTGCAGAGTTAAACTTTCACGTGTGCTGTAATCCAATAAATCTTTCTGTATTTTATGTAAGTGAGACTATTGCAGTGGGCTACAATGCATTGTTACTATGAATGAAAAATATTCTTTGGTCACGTTTTTACTTGTATTCAACCTATGTTGTGTGAGTCTAATCAGTACACAGAATGTTTTTTGCTACTTTATCAGTTTTACTTTCTAAAACGTTTGGCTCTTCTGTGGAAAGTCAATACCTTGGCTGTAATACCAGTGTAGTACTTACACTAACACCTGCCAGCTATTCTTTTGAAGATGATTATTTGAAAATTCTTTGTCTTTTAAATGACCATGTAATTTCAACCACTGCATGACAGAAATGCAGATAAGATGCTTTCTGATAACCTTTCTTTTCTGAGATTTAAATAATAAAACAATAAAGTTAGCACTGTAGAAGCTGTCTGTGAAGTACGATTTAAAAAATGGACTACAGTGAGCTTCTACTATAGATATTTGAGAAGGGTTCTCTGGCAAAATAAAACAATCTTTCCATTCTTAATTACTAAAGATAAATAATGCACCTGCCAGTGAAAGCAGGTTTCTGCAGATTAACTCTTCAGTAAAGACAATGTGAGCTTCTTTACATTTTTTGACTGTTCTTAGTGTTGCATCATTTCAAGAATGAAGTGCAACTAGCACATTTGTTATTCTTCCTGGTCACAAAGGCAGATTAAAAGGGAACAAAGTGATTTACGTGCTCATGCTCAAGAGAGTTTGCATAATGCTTTTGTATTCACTAATGAGAGCAATAATGTGTATGTGCAGCTCTTCTAAATGACAGTACAAACTTGCCCTTTATGTGCAGTTGTTTAGGTAGTGTAGTAGTACTGTGATTCTCTTCATGTACTTAAGGTTCTGTCTCATAAAGTTGCTTCTGCCTTTCATTTGTTATTTTACTCAGTTTATTCTGTTCTTGAAACTCTGTGAATGTACTTTCTTGTGTTTCCTGCAGAATACTGGTACTCTAGTCCTAATGCCATGTCTTGCGAGCTCTTATCAGTGCTGTAGCACACAGATACCTGTAGAGGCAACAAGATTGGGGGAAAGTGTATTTTATTTGGTAGATTTTCTCTCACCTGTTGTTACGCTGACTGTTATGGGGCAGGTATGTCCTTAAATCATCAAGACATCCCTGTATGCCTTGGAACATACCAGGTGCAGTTCTACATCACTTGACTGTTCTGCTTAGGATCATGAAGCTGATTTCATCCATGGCAGCCCTAAGCACCTATGATATTTCTGTATGCTGATCTTCAAAGAAATAATGACTCTTTTTCTCTCAATTTCTAGTAGAATAACGTTCCTTTATATATTTCGATTACTGCTTCCTTATGTATTGGAGACGGACATTTTAGTAGGGCCTGTAGTGATAGGATGACCAGTAATGGTTTTAAACTAAGAGAGGGGAGATTCAGATTAGATGTAAAAGAAACTTTTAATCATGAGCATGATGAAACACTGGCACAGGCTGCCCAGATTGGTGGTAGAAGCCCCATCCCTGGAAGCATTCAAGGTTGGACAGGGCTCTGAGCAACCTGATGTGTGTTGCAGGGGGGTTGGACTAGATGATCTTTAAAGGTCCCTTCCAACCCAGCTGATTCTACGATTACATTACAATCAAGAGCCAGGAGATGTAAGCCAGGTAAGGGAATTGATCCATCTAGGAAGGGGGGCGGGTAGGAGAAAGGAAATCAGTTTAGTCTTTCTTCTGGATCAGTTCTCGTACCTCACTTACCATGTAAATGCACAATAGCCGATCATGATGCAAGTGAGGATGCTGCAGCACGTGCCTGGGGTTAAGGGGGAAGGTAAACTTTCTGTGTTCAGCCTGGAGTTATGTCAGCTTGATGTGACCCCGGAGCTGCAGCTTTGGTGTGGGTGTTCTGCGTGCTAGTACATGGTCTGTCTGGTGATTGGGCTGAATGTACAGAGGAAAAGGAGGACATGTTTGCACTGATGTTACTTTTCTGGTTAGACTATCTAAAAATACTTTACAGAAAGGTGCAACCCCCTTCTGCTCCTCCAACTCTGCTTCATGTTAAAATTTGCTTTAACGTGCTTTTGTTAAAATTTGTCCAGACTTTCTGACGAGGGTAAAGTATTGTGTAGTTTTTGATGCATTATGTGATGTGCCGGCTGGGTAGTTACAACTAGTTCATGCTTACTGTAGGTTCCCTAAGTTACGGTTCTGATTGAATTACTACTCCTAACAACAGAAATAGGTAAAGAAATCAAGAAAATTTCTATTTGACATATAACTTTTTTGGGTCTCTTCTGTTCTTAAGCCTTACAGGATTATTATTGTTTCTGTAGACTAAACCAGGCCAAATAGCTCAAGTTAAACCTATTAGAAAGCTGGCGTGGATTTAAAGACTCAGAACCATCTGGGAATGGGATCACACGTAGTGGTTCTTAATATAGACAGCTTTGTCATTACCTATCTATTTGAGAACCAATTAATTTGCACTGACCTAAAGCAGTCTTGTGACACACTTGCATATGTAAAAAGGTTAAAAGTATTGTTGAGGAGAAACTTACTGGTTTTATATATATACTTAATTTCAAGGATAAAACATAAGATGACAAGCACTTGTATGTAATGTTTTGAAAGAAAACACATGTTCTTCCTCTGGCTATTTTTATTCGCCTTTGCCCAGCACCTTGTTTTGCTCATTGGCTTTGGAGTTTTGTTTTTTTCCCGTTCTTTCAATTAGCTCATAAGTTCCTCCATATAAAATGCCTTCTAGGTTTGTATAATCACTTCCCAGTGTTGACCGAGTTTCTAAGTGCATGGTATAAATAATAAAGTGAAACAAACTATTTTATATTTGGAAAAAAAAATAATGCTGAGATACAACATTTAAATGTCACATTAAAATTTAGCCTTATTACTGTATAAGAAGCCTAAAAATTTTAAATAGGAATTTTTCAAGAGCAGCCAAGTACTAAATTTTTTTTTTCCCTAAAAGTTCTGGGATTTTTTTTTTAAATGCTACTTCACATCCTTTTAGAGGATTTAAATACTGAATACCTTGGGAATATAAGATATTGCATATATAATCTACCTGTTCAATTCACCAAGAAGAAATATGTGAAAATGAAGAGACTGCTGGAGCCTTTAGCAGTGGAAAAGTTCATTTCTGTATTTGTAAACACATGTGATCATGTGTTGTTTGTGTTGAACTCCTAGATGGTGAATAGGCAAGATGATTCTGTAGATGAAGAAGGTAAAATTGGAACTTTATTTCTTAAATATTTTTGATTTTTATATGCAGGAGTCAGAAATAAAAAAAAATAACATTATTTCTCTTTGGACAAAATAATGCTACTTTTTATTTGATGCTGAATTCTAATATTGTCTAGATATTACCAAAAATTTATTTTATTTTTGTTGATTATACAGTGGAAGAATCCGACATCATTGATCTCGAAAAACGATACTGGCTGCTGAAAGCTCAGTCAAGAACTGGACGGTTTGATTTAGAAACATTTGCCCCCTTAGTTTCCCCTCCTATTCATCCATCTCTGAGTGAAGGTATGGGACATCAATGAAACATGCGAGGGTGTGATGTTGCTGTGGTGTTCAGTACCTGATGGGTCTACTGACATACGGATTTTATGACTTTAAAAGTGGGCCTATTTTAAAACGTATATTAAACTTCTATTGCAGAGATTCGTTCCGCTGAGTTCTGAATGTTTGAAAATGATAAAAGATGCCTGAAATCTCTGTTTGTTGAGAAATCTGGGATGATGAAAGAAGTGATGCTTCTGTGTTACATTCTTATTAATTGTCAGGAAACATGTCAAACTTTATGTATCATTTGCCCTGTAGCTGCTTAAAACTTTTCATTGGGTTCCTTAAGGTTCTGTGATGACAAAATATACTGCTGACCCTGAATGAGATATAGACCATTTTTAAACTGGCAGATGTGAGCTTCATCTATTATATGATGATTCACCATGCAAGTCAGAAGTTGTATCATGCAGTCAATGAAACAGTCTTCCCTAGTAATGTGAGTTAAGGAAGATTTTGTTCAGAAGACTTGGTCAGGAGATCGGTATGTTGCAATGCAGACATTAATAACCAAGCTAGTCTTTCAAGTTGAAGCCACTCTGGTAGCAATTGTTTAATTGCCATTTACTGTGCAACATAAGGACATTAAGTGACATTCTACTTAAATGCTAGTTTTTGTCTGCAGTCCTAGAGAGGCTATTTTTTATCACCAAACGGTCAGCTTTACTGACAAGTGGCAGCAGTAAGTAGAAAATAGGAAATTTGTCTGCAGTGGATGCAAACTATTAAAAGACCAGAACTTAGGTGCAATTCAATAGGGATATATCCCCGAAGTGGCAGTGTGTTTTATCTACTTAGTGATATAAATTTACACAGCTGCTATGGGGAAACTTGAGTGGTTTCTGGTCATTCTGTATGTCTTCTGTGGATAGTGCAACTGAGTCATTGTCACTACAACAAAAATTTTGTGGGATAAGTAAAAGTTACATATGCTGAGTGAATAGAACAAATCCTTTGAAGGCCAATAACTAAAACTCCTAAGTCACTTAGGGCCAAATTTGCAATTGTGTTCAGTGATTTTCATAGGAGTTTCTCTCAGGCACTTTGGAAAAGCCAGAGCATTTGGCATCTGAGTACCTTTACTGTTTTGGTCATTTAGCTTTTGTGGAAATGCTTGTGCTGACTGTACTGGTTTAGATGTATGCTCTATAAATCAGTCCTTACAAGGAAGGCATGAGAATAAGGTTACTGTTCAGAATTCTTGATTCCCTTCCCACCCCAGCTTTGTCTAGCAATACATGAGTGATCTAATTCGCCTTTAAAATGGTCTTAGTGCTCAATTATCTTCATTACACTTAGTAAGAATTAGTTACAAGTGTTTGTACTACTCCTTGCAAATGTTAACCTTAACCCGTCATGTGAATGCGAGGTATGATTGTCAGCTGTTTCGGCCAGATGCTGTAACAGGAGATGCTTTTGTGGTTTGCAGGTTTGTTTAATGCTTTTGATGAAAACCGAGACAATCACATAGACTTTAAAGAAATTTCCTGTGGGCTCTCAGCATGTTGCAGGGGACCCTTGGCAGAAAGACAGAAGTGTAAGTATGGAAAATCTTAACTATTAATTTTAGAGAAGTTTTTCAGTTTCAGCAATGAAGTTTATTTGTTTCCACCATTTTCGAATTTTTTTTTCCACTGAGCAAGTGTGCATTTGTGAAAGGTGACAGGCTTTAAAAGTTAAAAAATTAAAGGAATTTAAAAGATCAAGACTTCCTTTTATAAAGGATGATTAAACCTAATTCTGTATATTTTATAACTTATCCATAGTGTCGTATAAATTTTCAACCTGTTTGGGGAGAAAAGTGTATTTCGGAAATCATTGCGGTGTCCGCATTATGATGCAGGAGGTGTATCTCGATATAGAAAGTGCAAACACTTAGCTATTTGTTATATATAATATAAAAAGAATGTCCTATTTGATTGTGTTATGGCAAATAGCATGTTCTGGCTGCTTTACTGTCCAGTTTTCAGCTGGCTCCCTGCAATGTTCTTGTGTGTTGAAATACCTTTGTTCCATACTTTCCCAAAGCTATATTGCTGCAACTTAAAAGCTATCATTCACTGGAAATTTCTGGGTGCACATATGTTCCCTGCTATGTCACATCAGAAAACACAGCACAGAATTGCAGGAATCTAGATTTCAGTTTATTAAACACAGCTGCTCCACTTCCTCGCTGCTACACATGCATCCTGCCTCATCAAAACTGTCAGCACTAAATCGTGTTCTTGTGCCTCTGCAGACGTACATTCTGCAGGAAAAAAAAAAAAAAGGTGTTGCTTAGTTCTAGCATAGAAAAATAATTTCCTTTTTTCTCAGTTTGCTTCAAGGTTTTTGACATTGACCGGGATGGTGTGTTGTCTCGCACCGAACTTAAAGAAATGGTGGTTGCTCTTTTAGAGGTCTGGAAAGATAACCGTACTGATAAAATACCGGTAAGTTTTATCTGTTTTCTTCTTCATTTGATTCTGTTTCTTAAAGTCATCCTTCAAAAGTAGGCATGTGAATGTTGCTTGAACGTGGTTTCAGTGAAGTACAGGCTTCCTTGAACTACCTTAGCTGAGGACTGCTGATGACTGGGTGTAACTTGCCTGCGTAACTGTGACCTGCCATGAACCAAAGCAGCATGATTTGAGTGTAACATGTGCTGTTTCCTATGAAGAAGCCTTAGGTACAGAGGTACAACTGTCTGGAAGCACTTGGTTGTGAATTACATAGAGGTGTCACCAGCATTTCTTCCAGTTATGTTTTTATTCTGAACACATGCAGCTCCAGAGTGTGCTGTGTGAATTTAACTCTGTTTTCTAATCCTTTTGTTTGTTAAGGAGTTGGACATGGATTTATCTGAAATTGTTGAAGATATTTTGAAAATGCATGATACCACAAAGGTAGGAATTTTGCTGTTCTTTCCTTGTCATTTTTATACCCTAGTATCTTCAATTTATTTTTAACAAAATAAAATCTTGTGCTTTCTTTAAAGTAGAGATGTGTCAATACAAGAATCTCTTTCAAGAAATGTCAGGTTTCCATTAAAATTTTCCAATTAAAATTGTTCTGTGACAGAAAGAACATGTTTGAGTTTTATAAGCTATTTTTGTGTATGAAACTAAATGAAAAATACATAACCAGATGAGATTGATTTGAAGCTTATACTGTTTGTAAGGCTTTGCTATGCATAATTAATACCAGTTTTAAATCTGATGCTTGACTTTTGTTCTGGAGAAACTGTTCTTTTGTTTCATGTTAAAAATAATCTTATGAAAAATGGGGTGATGCATTAGTATATCTTTATGTTTTATGCTGTGTAAAGGCACGTTGTCCTCCTATGCTGGAACAGGACTGTATTAATTGAGTAGCAACTTATGCATTATCATTGTCAAACCACTTTGTTTGCAGTAATATTATATACAACCAGTGAACTACATACAACAATATTGTTTCAGAGCAGTATCTGTGAAGCTGTGGAGGCATCTGTCATGACAGTCATGACACATGGCAAAAAGTCCGAGTAGTTTATATTGTGCTTTATAGTTAGCTGTGTGTAAATCTTTATGGTCTTGCTTTTTTGAGAGAGTCGCTATCATCTGCAAACAATGCAGGGGAAGATCTTTCCATTATTTCATCCTTTGCTTCACTAATTAGGAAGAGTGTCTGGAAACTAAAAATAATCTAAAAAACCCTAGAAATGTCTAGAAATGCTTAATTACTTGTTTGAATAGTTGTCTTGCCTGCTTGTATTCCAACAAAATGGTAGCTGAATATTTTATTATAATTCTTTTATTACCAAAGCAGTAGAAAATACAGCTTCAGTGAGCTCTTTTCTGTCCTTGGAGGTTTTTATCATTTGCCTTTTTTAAAAAAGGTGGCTTATAAGCAAGGGTATAGCAGTCTCGTTTCCGCAAAGAGCTAAAGAAGACGACTAAGTCTTTGGAATGTCTTTCATAGTTGCATTGTGAATGCAGTGGCCGATTGGAAAGAGCCGATGGTGCAGTAATTACATAGATTACTTAACCTCTTTTCATGTGTTAGCTTTGACGTTTATGAACTCTGGTGAAAATAGTCTGTAAAAAGAGGCAGAGTAGCTGCCACTGCTGTGAAAATGGTGAATTATATTACAATATTGAAAATTCAGACTGATCCTGTCACTGCATTCTTGAAAATAAGAAGGTCCTCTGATGTTGGTCAGTGTTATGCTACTGTAACTTTGCAAGTGGTTAAGAATTAATAGGACTTGTGTTGTAAGGAAAGATCATAAGGACTTGATGATCCAAAATCGTTTTTCTCAACCCACAGAGGCAGATGGTGGGTTTGTGAATGGATGCAAGTATCTGTATGTGCAGAGCTTATTCGGATGATCAGAGTCTTAGATCGTCTTAGTCTTGTTTTGTTTCCTACAAGTTGATCGCCCTGAGCAGTCACATGCTGCTTCTGCTGGTTTCATGATTTGAGACTGCTGCGGTTGGGCACGAACACTAAATCTGAATGATGGAGAGCAGGAGCGAAGGTTACATGCTGTCTGTAGTCCATCTGCTCTGCTCTCAAAGCTTTTTGGTTCTCTAGGTTGCATACATTGTGCTAAAACTGGATTTTTCTTCTTTCATTGGATCAAATTTTATTATCAGAGTGGTAGATGCTAATTTTTATCAAATCAGTGGCTTTGTCATGCCTTGTATGACAGATTTAATGAGCATTTTCATAGAAATAGGTTAGTAGTTTGATGGCTTTTCCTTCCCTTTTCCTTCTCTTCCCTTTAACTAAGCTTGGACACCTCACTCTGGAGGACTACCAGATATGGAGTGTGAAGAGTGCACTTGCCAATGAATTTTTAAATCTGCTCTTTCAGGTAGGTTTAGAGGAAATTTAAACTTGAAAATTATGGTAATTAAGTCACGAGCTTTTTGCTTGGCCACAAAGTGCAGCATCAGCATTTGTGCCGACCTGTTTACAGTTTTGTCTGTTGCGGTAAGTTACGTGGTTTTGCGATTGTGCGTTACCTTGACAGAGTGATTCTCTGGTTGGTTGTTACTCTTTTCGGTGTATGGAGATGCCTAAAGCCTCAATTGTGAAAGGAACCTGTAAAGTCAAGTGACAGTCTCAGTTCTTCCAGGGAGGGCCAGGGAGAACCAGTGGGCTCCGTTCTCATCTTAGCAATGAAGCTTAATCAGTTATAGGGTCAGACTGTAGCAGAAAAATACTTCATGAGAGAGAAGCTGTGTGGGTTTGTTTTTTTTTTTTATTAACAATATTAGTAGCTGTGAGAGGCTGCCTGAATAGCATACTACTGATTCTCTGTTTGTGACCCTAGACTACTTTATAAACTTTATTTTGAACTGTACTTTTCCAGGAACTTCAGGGTGACTGAGTGAGAGGGTTCTGAGGGCAACAGCTACACCACAGCTGAAAAGAATAAAGTCCAAGTTCTGCAAATTCTTTTTATCTCGAATTGCAGCAAGTTTTGCTTACATTGCAACCTTCTCAAGAAGGGCTGTCTTTATTTTTGGACTGTCTAGCATCAAATATGCTGCCACAACTTAATCTTGATGAATTAACAAATACCTAAGTATTATTGAGGTAGAATGAATGAACACTTAAGAAATGTACTTGCATCTCATGCTGCAGGCTCAACAGCACGCTCGCACAGGACAGACTCTGCAGTTGATTTGTCTGGGCATTTATTTGAACTGTCATGAGCTGTGTGTCTCATCTGCAGAGAGGAAAGCTAAGTAGTCTGAGTAGAGTGCCTCGGAAAGCTTGTCAACAAATCGGTTTGGTTGGTTAGTTTATATGAAGAATCTGATACTAGCACAGTGTTACATGAGTTTAAAAAGAAACATCAGAGCCAGCTGTGTTGTGTGCGCTGGAAAATCTGTTGCTTCCCACCAGCTAATGGCCTTTGTTTTATTCAGAATGTGAAATGGTCTTTCACACTGTAATATAAATTTCAATAAGATATCTCACCAGTCATTAGAAATTTCCAGCTGAGATGCAAATTGCTGGCCTCAGAAGAGACGTAAGGAAAAGGCTATAAATTGTGTTACGAGTAGCAACTAATTTGAAAACCGTCTTGGAGAGGAGACAGCTGAACCTCCTCCCTG